AAAAACAAAAAAATTAAAATCGCAATTAAAAACATTAAAATTGCAATTAAAAACATTAAAATTGCAATTAAAAACATTAAAATTGCGATTAAAAATAAGTGTAGAATCTATTTCAGAGGAGGAAAAAAAGTTTAAGCATCAACTTAAAAGGGAACATATTTTTTTATATGATTATAATTCTTTTCAAAATATTGAATTTATTGATAATGGATCATTTGGAACAATTTCTCTTGGATTTTCAAAGCATCATCAAGAACTTGTAGCATTAAAATCCATTAATATTGATCAAAAATATACTTTTGAACAATTTCTTAATGAGGTAATAAATCTGTAAATCTTTTTTTTTATCCAACAAATATATATTAATATTCACAAAATTGATTTTTAAAGGCAAAGCAACATCGTAAAGTAGAATTTCACAGTAACATATTGAGTTTTTATGGCATAACAAAAGAAAGTGCGTTGAATTTTTGTTATTAAATGATTGTTATATTTATTATACGTTGTTAATTTAATTTTTTTTACATCTCAATAAAGAAAAACATAAAAAAAATTACATGTTTGTATTAGAGTATGCAAATAATGGTAATTTATGTGATTATTTAAAAACCAATTTCAATATAATGGATTGGAACGCTAAATTGAAATTTGCAAAACAAATTGCAAGTGCTGTAAGTCATTTGCATGAAAATAAAATAGTACATAGAGATCTGGTACATATAAACATTACTTATTATTTTTTACATTTTTAATATATAGTAATAACTTACATTAATATTTTTAAATAGCATCCTGAAAATATTCTAATTCATAATGGAGATATTAAAATTTGTGATTTTGGAATCTCAAAATCTTTATTGGGTCCTTCAATAGAAGCTTCCAAAAAATTTGGTACAATAAGATACTCAGATCCACAATATTTAAACAATATTGAAAATTATAGTCGCAATGAAAAATCAGATATTTATAGTATTGGAGTGCTTTTATGGGAGCTGTCAAGTGGCCATGCTCCATTTGCAGATAAGTCAATCAAATTCACTGATTTAATGCTTATCATAACATCAGGTGAACGTGAAGCAATAATCAAGGGAACTCCAAGAAAATATGCAGAAATATATACAGGTAATAATGAGAAAGAATTATATGACCATTTGTTATAATTTTCAATGGATAGTTCTGAAAATATTTTTTAAATAATAATTTATACTTAAAATTTTATTTTATAAAGCATGTTGGCAAGAAAATCCAGATCTCCGTCCTCATATTGATCAAGTTATGCAGGATTTGAATAATGTAGACATAACTAACACTATTGAAGATATT